GTCCTAAAAGGAGGTATAATACATGTATGCTGGAATTTGCCAATGATAATTCCCTCTTGGGAAGAGATCTTAACTGTAATCAGAGAAATGAGAGGCTGCACGATGCCAAAGGATCTCAAAGCAGTATTGTGAGTCCGTTTGAGAAATTGTGTTGGAACAGATGACAAAGAGCTGGTCATGGATTTAGTGGCAACTGCGAGGAGGGCCACATAAGAACATAAGAGAAGGCAATGTTGGATCAGGCCAATGGCCCGCTGAGTCCAGCACTCTGTGTCACAAATCCCAGGTGCCGTCAGGAGGTCCACCAGCAGGGCCAGAACTCCAGAAGCCCTCCCACTGTAGCCCCCCAAGCACCAAGAATACAGAGCATCACTGCCCCAGACATAAGAACATAAGAGAAGCCATGTTGGATCAGGCCAGTGGCCCATCCAGTCCAACACTCTGTGTCACACAGTGGCTGAAACCCAGGTGCCACTAGTGGGGACACAAGAAGCTCTTCCACTGTTGGTCCTCCAAGCACCAAGGAAACAGAGCATCACTGCCCTAAAGGACATAAGAGAAGGCCTGTTGGATCGGGCCAGTGGCCTATCCAGTTACACAGTGACTCTGTGTCACACAGTGGCCGAAAATACCAGGTGTCATCAGGAGGTCCATCAGTGGGGCCAGAACTCCAGAACACTGTTGCCTCCCAAGCACCAAGAATACAGACCATCACTGCCCCAGACATAAGAACATAAGAGAAGCCCTGTTGGATCAGGCCAGTGGCCCATCCAGTCCAAAACTCTTTCTCACAAAGTGGCTGAAACCCAGGTGCCATCGAAGGACCACTACTGGGGCCAGGACACTAGAAGCCCTCCCACCGTTGTCCCCCCCAGCACCAAGAAGACAGAGCATCACTGCCCCAGACATAAGAACATAAGAGAAGCCCTGTTGGATCAGGCCAGTGGCCCATCTAGTCGAACACTCTTGCATCACATAGTGACCAGAACCCAGGTGCCATCAGGAGGTTCACCAGCGGGGCCAGAACTCCAGAAGCCCTCCCACTATTGCCCTCCAAGCACCAAGAAGACAGATCACCACGGCACCAGACATAAGAAGAGAAGCCATGTTGGATCAGGCCAGTGGCCCATCTAGTCGAACACTCTTGCATCACATAGTGACCAGAACCCAGGTGCCATCAGGAGGTTCACCAGCGGGGCCAGAACTCCAGAAGCCCTCCCACCGTTTCCTCCCAAGCACCCAGAATACAGTGCATCACTTGCCCCAGACAGAGCGTTCCATCTATACCTTACTAGCATGCTACCCGTGCTTCACTACGGTATTTAAGTTTCGTAACTCTAGTTATAATACTGATGTGAAATTTGAAATGTGACATTTGCTGTAGGAATTCTAACAGAGAAGATTGTAGTGTAAGAAATGAAGTGAGACATACGTACTTTCCCCCCTCTCTACCGAAGGACCTCCCTCTAGACCACATTGGTGGTTCGGCCCTCAGGTGCTGGGATCACCAGGCTGCTTGTTGAGCTCACTCTGGAGCAGGCCACAGAGAACGGTCCCTTTCAGAAGCAGTCGTCTGTTAAGTCCACTCCTGCCACCTTCCACGAAAGTGATGGCCTCTCTACTTGTGTTCCTGGATTGTTTTGCTCATATGGAGACAGTGTTGTTCTGAGCACCTCAGGGTGATCTCGCTGGTACTTGGCCTGTGCAGCTCAGTGCCCCGCAGGAGTACTATGTGCAAATGTCTTTGCCGCATTCCTAAGTTGCCTCCTCCTTGTAGCGTTGGTGTATCTGGCTTGACGTTTGCCAGGAGCTTTCTTGGGGGCAGTAAGAGGTGAGAGGTGTGAGGGAGTGGTGATGTGGTGGACATTTCTTCAGGTTCATGAGGGAGGCACGCATCGAAATGGCTCCTAGAAATGTCCTTTACTATGTCCCCATAAACATTCATACCCTGGCCCCGCTCCTACACCTGACAGACACCGGCCTGTCTGGTGTTGGGGGGAGCTTGTTTTTAAAGGCATTGGGGAGACTGGGCCAGCAGCAGTGCTAAGGCAATCCTGCTGAGCAAACCTCCCCGGTGGCTGTAAGCATCCCACCTCCTCTCCTACACCAGACAGGCAGCTGCCTGTGCAGTGTAGGAGGAGGAGGGTAAAGGAGTATTAGAAGCCACTGTGGAGGTGGGGCTGCACCCAACAGACAACTGCCTGTTAGGTGTAGGGGTGGGGGGAGTGTGTTGGAAGCCATCCCACCTCCTCTCCTACACCTGACAGGCAGCTGCTTGTCCAGTGTAGGAGGGGGAGGGGGGAGGAGTATTAGAAGCCTCTGTGGAGGTGGGGCTGCACCTGACAGACAACCGCCTGTTAGGTGTAGGAGATGGGGGGAGTGTGTTGGAAGCCATCCCACCTCCTCTCCTACGCCTGACAGGCAGCTGCCTGTCCAATGTAGGAGGGGGAGGGGGAGGTGTATTAGGAGCCACTGTGGAGGTGGGGCTGCACCCGACAGACAACTGCCTGTTAGGTGTAGGAGGTGGGGGGAGTGTGTTGGAAGCCATCCCACCTCCTCTCCTATACCTGACAGGCAGCTGCTTGTCCAGTGTAGGAGGGGGAGGGGGGAGGAGTATTAGAAGCCACTGTGGAGGTTGGGCTGCACCTGACAGACAACCGCCTGTTAGGTGTAGGAGGTGGGGGGAGTGTGTTGGAAGCCACCCCACCTCCTCTCCTACACCTGATAGGCAGCTGCCTGTCCAGTGTAGGAGGGGGAGGGGGGAGGAGTATTAGAAGCCACTGTGGAGGTTGGGCTGCACCTGACAGACAACCGCCTGTTAGGTGTAGGAGGTGGGGGGAGTGTGTTGGAAGCCATCAGAGAGGCTGGGCCAGCAGCTTTGCCTCACCTCACAGGTGGTTCTTGGCCACTCCCGATTTCCTCAGCTGTCCTTAGCTCTCTGCAGTCCCCTGTAACTGTTGGCTTTTTTTATCTCAGAAAACTGAGCTCTGCAGCTGACCAATCAGAGAGTGGGGGGTGCAGAGAAGCAGCTTCCTGGGAGCCTCATAGGAATCAATAGAGGAGCACATTTTCCCCCTTTTGACCCACTTAGGGTTCGAATTTCTAAAAATCCCTTCTTAGCGAGCACCTACGCCCCGGTGGGAGCGCTCTCCCCGAATCTGGTGTCTCTAGGTCCAGCAGTTTGGCCTGGGCGTTGCTTTTACAGTGAGGGGACTTTCTTTATAGATATAGACAGATGGCTAATAGCCTCTGATGGACCTCTGCTCCATATGTTTCTCCTGTCCCCTCTTGAAGCCACAGAACGGGAGTCTATAGCCTCACCATCAGGGATAGAATGGAACAGACAATCTGGAACGCAGCATTGTTGACAAGGTTGACTTATGGTAAGAGGGATGAAGAAGAGGAGATTGGATTTATACCCCCGCCCTTCGCTACCTGAAGAAGTCTCAGAGCGGCTTACAATCTCCTTTCCCTTCCCCTCCCCACAACAGACACACCCTGTGAGGTAGGTGGGGCTGAGAGAGCTCTTTCGAGGACTGCCCTTGAGAGAACAGCTCTGAGAGAACTTGTGACTGACCCAAGGTCACGCCAGCAGCTGCATGTGGAGGGGTGGGGAATCAAACCCAGTTCTCCCAGATTAGAGTCCGTGCTCCTAATCACCCATAACCACTACATCAAACACACACCTCCAAATAATGGGAAATCATTATTGTTTATTGGCAAAGTAGCAAGGTTTTTTTGGCTGGTACAGAATAACGACGCTATAGATAAGGTACAGAAAGGGTCAAAGAAGCATTGAATGCCATCTCAGCTCAGGGGAGGAGGGTGTCTGCTTAGCAGCAGGGGATGTGGAGGGCTCCACTGGGCCCGGACTTCTTCATTCCCCTCCGTTCCTAAGCAGCCCAGCTTGTCAAGATGTTTTTACAACCAGAGCCGAGCAGACTCCCGGCAGCTGACTGTGTCATCACTTGGCTGAGAGGAAGTTTCTTCCGACAGATCTGGCAGATATGTAACGTTGTTTGCGACCGAAGGCGGGAGAGCAGGCAGAGGGGAAGGGCCTCTCTCCAGAGGACTTTCAACCACTGTGAGCCACGGTTCTTGTCGGGTGGCCGAAGTGGCACTACTGTCAAGTTCATTTCACAGAGGGAACCCAGGCAGGGGATTAGGGTTTCTAACCTCCAGGTGGGGCCTGGAGATTTCCTGGAAATGTGATCTCCAAACGACTGAGATCCGTTCCCCTGGAGAAATGGTCGCGTTGGAAGGTGGGCTGAACGGCATCACATCCAAGGCTCCCTCTAAGCTGTGGAGTCCTGTGAGCAGAAAGTCTACTTGGTGAGCTGCTGGCAATAAAGTTGGGAGCAAGCGATTTGGCGACTGCATGAATCAGTTGGCTCTGGAGCCATCCCTTCCTGAGCAAGGAAATGTGTGCACCGGAGGCTAAAAATCCGTGCGCTAGCTCACCCTTAAGTCAGCTTAGAGGGAACACTGGCTGTGATGTGACGGCGCTTTATTCAACGAAGTCTAGGGAACGAGCCAAGTCAGCTTCCTGCAGCCATAAATCACAAACTGTCCTGTTGCACCAGAAAGACTAATGATGATGACATTGACATAACCTGGCACGAGCCACATGCATGCCCCGGACAAAGTAAGGCTCTGGCTCAGAAAACCTTCTGCTGTTGTATAAATGTGTCCACCTTTAATAGGGTTGCCAACCTCCATGTGGAGACTGGTGATATCCTGGAATTACAACTGATTTCCAGGAAACAGTGATTGGTTCCCCCGGAGGAAATGGTTGCTTTGGAGCATGGACTCTATGGCGTTGTGCCCCAAACCACATCCTCCCATATGCTCCACCCCCAAATCTCCAGGAATGTCCCCACCTGGAGTTGGCCACCCTCGTAAGGCACCACAAGACTCAAAAGGGGCCCCAGCGTTCCATCCCCCAACCAAGCAAGTCCATGCAAATCAGAAGGAAATAGAGAGCATGCAAAGTCACCTACCACGCACGATGCTTCATATTGTTTTCCAAGCTTGGGCCTCAAAAATGCGCTGCGGAAGAACACAGACATGTGTTAAACACTGATGGCAGACGTTGCAGAGAGAGGAACAGAGAGAGCCAGTTTGGTGTAGTGGTTAAGAGTGCGGACTCTAGTCTGGGGGAACTGGGTTTGATTCCCCACTCCTCCACTTGCACCTGCTGATGTGACCTTGGGTCAGTCACAAGCTCTGGCACAGCTGTCTCTCAGCCCCACCCACCTCACAGGGTGTCTGTTGTGGGGAGGGGAAGGGAAAGGAGTTTGTAAGCCACTCTGAGACTCCAAATGAAGGGCGGGGTATAAATCCAATCTCCTCCTCCTCTTCTTCTTCTTCTTCTTCTTCTTCTTCTTCTTCTTCTTCTTCTTCTTCTTCTTCTTCTTCTTCTTCTTCTTCTTCTTCTTCTTCTTCTTCTTCTTCTTCTTCTTCTAATTTCAATAAGGTCTGCACGGGGAGGGATTGCTTACAACAGGAAGGAGGCCAAGCAGAGGTGGGACTGTCACTGGAGAAGTTTAGGGCAGGGCTGTGGCGACTTGGTCAGAGGAGCAGGTCCGCAAGACCAAGGAGGGACAAAGCCATTTGGAGTGTGCAAAGAGGGGCGGCTAGGACACAGGCCTAACATGAGGTGGGAGAGGGGCGCCCTCTGGATATTTCAGCTGTGGCTCGGTGGCAGAGCACCTGCTTGGCATGCAGAAGGGTCCCAAGTTCAATCCCCGGCATCTCCAGTTAAAAAGGACCCGGCAGGAGGTGATGGTTATGGCTCTCCGGGGCCTGAGACCCTGGAGAGCCATGAACTGGGATTGTAGCTCAGTGCCAGAATATCTGCTTGGCATGCAGAAGGTCCCAGGTTCGATCCCCAGCATCTCCAAAAGATCAGGTAGGAGGTGATGGGAAAGACCTCCACCTGAGACCCTGGAAAGCCATGAACTGGTTACAAAGCGTAAGCTCCTCCTCAATGTTCCTCATGATATCTCTTCTCTGTAATGCTTTTTGCTTTTGTTCTGTATGCTATTCTATGGGTCTCTGACCGTAATAAAATGAATGAATGAATGAATGCTGCGGCCAGGCTGTTAATGGGTCTCTCTAGGAGGGACCACATTCAGCCTGTGCTGAAAGCGCTGCACTGGTTGCCAATAGCGTACCGAATTCGCTTCAAAGTGCTGGTTCTTACCTATAAAGCCCTACATGGTCTGGGTCCAGCCTACCTGAGGGACCGCCTTTCCCCGTATGTTCCCCCAAGAGCACTACGGTCTGGGGGACAGTCTGATACAGGTCAAAAAGCAGAGACTGAAGATAAAATCCATGCTGAATTAAATTAAATTTGGCAGGGGCTGTGGCTTGGCAGGAGCACATCTGCTTGGCATGCAGGAGGTCCCTGGTTCAGTCCTCGGCATCTCTAGTCCAAAAAAGGACCAGGCTTGAGGGGACATAAGAGACCTCAGTCTGAGACCCTGGAGAGCCCCTGCCAGTCAGACAATACTGACTTTGATGGAGCAAGAGTCTGATTCAGTAGAAGGCAGCTTCATGTGTCCATGTGATCACCAGGGCTGGCTCTCCAGCCAAGCCACCCAAACAGCTGCTTGGGGCCTTGGCTCAGTGGTAGAGCCTCTGCTTGGCATGCAGAAGGCCGCAGGTTCAATTCCAGACATCTCCAGTTAAAAGGGACCCAAGCAGTAGGTGATGTGAAAGACCACTGCCTGAGACTCTGGAGAGCTGCTGCCCGTCTGAGTAGACCATCCTGACTTTGATGGACCAAGGGTCTGATTCAGTAGAAGGCAGCGTCATGTGTGTTCACATGCCTGAGACACAGCCTAGTCCAGGTATCCCCAAAGCGGTGCCCGTGGGCACCGTGTCATCCACCAACACACTTCCTGGCACCTGCCAAGTGTTTTTAGAAAGTGGGCAGAGCCAGGTGGGGCTTTTGCTCAGAAAGACTTCTGATTGGCTGTTGGAGCTTTGATTGACTGTGCAGAGGTGTTTTTTTTTTTAATGTTGCTTTGGGAGCAGCTGCCCCACACACACCACAGTATCTTCAAAAAGCCATTGGATGCGATCCAGCCAGCTTTTAGTGTTGTATACCCCGCTGGTGTCAATAGAAGGATTATGAATGCGTGCAAATTTCTCCAATTTAAATCGCACATTGCTTCTTTACTAATGAACCTTTCGGCCTCATCTCCCAGGGTGGCACTCCAGCAGAAGTTTTTTAAAAACGGAAAGCATCCCATTAAGAAATGTAACATCATACTCGCCCATAAAAACAAGACCACAAAGAAAACAGTAGCCAGCACTAAAAAAGTGACAAACGTGGTGTGGGGGAAGGGGAAGCTAGCCGGAAAAGGGCAAAGTCCTAAGGGCAATTTCCTAGGAGTAAGCCCCTTTTAGTAACATGGGACTGTCATCTGAGTAGACCCACTTTGGATCGCTTCCTAAGCAAGCAGTCTTATTTTGACTTCTACGAAGAAGAAGAGGAGGAGGAGGAGGAGGAGGAGGAGGAGGCGGAGGAGGAGGAGGAGACTGGATTTACAACCCGCCCTTCACTCGGAGTGTCAGAGTGGCTTCCAAACTCCTTTCCCTTCCCCTCCCCACAACAGGTGCCCTGTGAGGTAGGTGGGGCTGAGAGAGCTCTTGACAGGAACTGCTTGCCCAAGGTCATCCAGCAGCTGCAAGTGGAGGAGTGGGGAATCAAACCCGGTTCTCCCAGATCAAAGTCCGCGCACTTAACCACTACACCAAACTGCCTCTACTTAGGTATATCCAATGGGCTTACTCCCGGTGATCTTAGGATGTCACTGTTATCCTGCCTTCACCTAACAGCTGTGCTGGGAGTTGCGAGCTGGCAAGACTATTCCATAACTGGGGAGTCACCACCAAGAAGGCTCCCGTTCCTTCCCCAGCCTAGCCTTTGCGGTAGTACCCAACTAGGGTCACTCTGCTATAGCTCTTAAAGTGCAGGAACAGGGTGCCATTCAGAGACCTGTTGGTTATCAAGACCCCAATACGAATCAGACTTGACACAGCTTAGCATTTGGACTGAATCACTTATCCCGCACCTATACATTTACTCCTGCAATTGCAGAGCTTTTCCTGAGGTTTTTAAACCCATCCCTTATATTTTAAAGTCCTGCTTTGTCCTGCCGCAGCAGTGCTTGAATCGAGCACGTCTTTCAGGCTTCTGTTCTCTTATAAAGACTGAACTCTGCAACCCACGGCCGCTTGTCAGAATCCCATTCTTTCCCCGAATGGTTACAACAGGAGATGTAGTAGGGGCTGATGGGTTAGCATTTTGCATCCACAATCAACTCACCGGATGGTATCAGGCAACTCAGCATCCTCAGACCAGTATGCCCCCAACAATCTGCAACATGGCAATATTAACTTGCCTACCTTATGGGGGTGATGTTGAAAAGTTTAATAAGAGAATTAGGGTTAACCCTCCATAACCCTCTATAAACCCTCCATAACCCTCTGTAAACACTACTTTAAAGCAGCACAAATTAGTGTTTTCTCCAGTGCAAGACTACATTTCCCCCCATATATGTTACCCAAAAAAGGAGGGGGTCATCTTATATTTGCATACAGATAACAGTTATGTCCATTTAAAATGGGGGGTGGATAATGTTTTTTGGGGGGTCATCTTAGATTCAGCTCGCTGGCTTTTGAAGAAACACAGTGGGTGATGGTGAAAAGTCACAGCCAATGATGAGGATCCTGGTAGGGTCTTGAGACGTTCAGAGGTGGGTTGCTATTGCCTGCCTCTGCCTAGCGACCCTGGACGTCCTTGGCGGTCTCCCATCCAAATGCTAACCAGGGCCGACCCTGCTTAGCTTCCCAGAAGGGATCAGGCCAGCCTGATCAGGGCAAATAAGGTAACAACATAAAACTGTGTGCCCATTGGAGGGTCACCAGGCAATCCCTTCCTAGAGGTATTGGCCTTTGATCCGAAGAACAGCCAAGCAAGCAAGCAACCAACCAACCAAGTCAGAAGGCATGATGGTTGGTTTGCCACTTATCAAGCACCGATCCTCTAAGCCGGCCTTGAATGCACCCATTTTGTAGATGGGGAAGGGAGACCTGGAGACGCTTCACCCCAGCCAGCCGTGATTCCCTAAGCCAGCAGGATTTTCTCAGCGCTCTCCCTCCCGGAAAGCCTGCCCAGCTGGGAGCTTCCTGCCGCGTTAGGCTGACCACTTCCCACGAATGTGGCAGGAGCAGCAAGAGTCCTCCCCCCAAACACCCCCCCCCCCCCCTGAGGTGTCATGCATGCCTCCTCCTGGGCAGCGCGCCCCACCTCGCTCTCGGGACCCCCTCAAGGAGAGGGGTCCGGGCAGCGCTGGATGAGGCCACTAAAGGTACCAAGGAAGGGGGGGGGGTTTGAGGGAGAGAAGCCTTCTCACGGAACCAGGGGCCAGCTGGCGGCTCTACCGCGGGGAAAAAGCAGCTCGGGTCCCAATTCCCCCACCCACCAAGCAGTCTCCAG